AATAGGAAAAGTCACTCAATACCATTAATTACTGGAAAATGAAAATGAAATCTACAATGACCTACCATTTCATCTTGTTAGAATGACTAAATTAAAAAAAAAAAAGACTGACTACACTAAGTATTGGCACTGGTAGGAGTGTAAAATTATATAATCCCTTTTGTGTACTATTTGGAAGTTTCTAGTAAAGTTAAACACATATTCTATGATGACTCAAAAATTCCAGTGCAAGATATGCAATACTAATCTAGTGATGGAAATAAAAAAGTGGTTGCTTAGAGTGGGCATGAAAATTGATTGAAACATAACATGAGTAAACTTTCCTGGATGACAGACATGTTTAATAATTACTTTTGGCTGCTGGTTATATGGCTGTGTACAATTATGAAAACTCATCAAACTAAACAATTAAGTGTAAAAATAATCCATAATTTAGAACAAAAACATCAGACAAAACACTCTATAGTTTCATTCAGATACATTCCAAGTAGAAACAAAACTAAGCTACAGTTTATAGGGATGCATTCTCAAAATTATGAAAATGAAGCAGGGTCCTAATTACTATAAAAGGCAAAAAAGAAGCTATCCCCAGGGTAAAAAGAGGTGGCATTGAGTGGGCTGTGAGGACTGACGGCCCGGGGGGTTTATGGTAATGACAGTATGCTACTTCTCGACTTGGATGGCAGTTACATAAGTGTTTCCCTTCCAATAATTTAATAATGTGTTAATTTTCATTATGCACTTTCCTTTATGTATATTTTACAAATTAAAAAAAATGTAAAGGCTTTTTACTTTATTGTGAACACACATACAAATCTGCGCTCTCACAGTAAATAGTACTGAGAAACCCATTCTTTCAGCTATTAACATGAGTGCATATCACAACTGGCTGGAGAAGATTCAGAATGTGGAAAAATAAAACCCACATAATCCTCAAATTAAAAAATCCTTAGAGGCTGTTTTAAAATGAGAAAACCAAGATTCGGAAGATTAAATGATTCACATAATTACTCTCCATTGACATCTTTATATCTCAGTTAAATCTATATGCTTGTAAAAGTATGCAGATGAAAAACAAAAATGTGAGAGAAAAGAAAAATGTTCTTGTTGATATAAACATACAAAACATATATTCTATTTTATGTTTTGCATAAACCCTGAAAGGTCACAAAATAAATATCTGGGCAAAATAAATATCTGGGCAGCCACAGAGAGATTAAATCTCTTCTGTATACAAACAAGCATGGCTTTACTTTTTTTCCCCCCTTTTTACAAAGAACAAATAAACCCAATGTAAAAACTGAAAAAAAAAAAGTATGTAAATGCAACATAATTATGTTTAAACCACAGAAGAGAGGAAATTTAGAGTTACAGATTCCATGGTAAGTTTTAATTCTATCCTTGTGTATATGAAAGAGTCTTTCATTACACGATCACATAACTCTAGGCCATGTAACAATCAGTCCAACAAATGTTTACTTTACAATGTGTGGAAGGAAAATATTTTATAAGAGAAATTGTAGGAAATTATTATATTATTTATGTAAATTGTTAGGTAACGTTTCTTAGAATCCTGGGCATTTGCAAAGTATTAATAAAAATACCTGTTCCTTAATTTCCTTGATCTAAGGAACATTAAATTTGGAGGATAGCTTAAGCCCAGGAGGTAAGTTGCAGTGACCCCTCATCATGCCACTGCACTTTAGCCTAGGTGACAGAGTGAGACCCCACCTCCAACGAGAAAAAAAAAAAAAAGGAACGTGAAATTTATAGGCAGGCACTTACTATGTTGAAAGCTAACCTTTAAATTTTAAGGCTATTTTGGAGTAATGGAAAATTTAGAGCATTAGACTTTTAGTATGTTTTGAATCATGTATACCGGGTAATTTGTGTAAAAAAATAGTAGAGACTGAGTAAGTCATGAAGATCCATGAATTCAAATAATTTTAAAAACCCACAACAGTCCTTATCAGTCTTGGAATTTGCTGGGATTCCTGACAACTCATATATCTATACGTATATATAAATGGATTTTTTTTTTAAAAAAGAAGGAATCAATTATTTGTCCTGCCTTATTTGTATGAGTTATACTTCAGCTTAACAAACAGCAATTAATTTTGAGACACATTTAGCAAAATCATTACATTACAAAGATAAAGAAAAAATCCCCAGACCAAAAAAGAAATCAAGTAATTTACAAAGGCAAAATAATTAGATTAGCATCAGACTTTTCAAAAACATGTTATGAAGCAAGGCAATGGAGCAGTATTTTTCTTTTTAATTTAATGAAAGAATGTGGGAATCAAGAATTTTAGGCCGGGCACGGTGGCTCATGTCTGCAATCCTAATACTTTGGGGGGCCAAGGAGGCTGGATCGCTTGAGCTCAGGGGTTTGAGACCAGCATGGGCAACATGGTAAAACCCTGTCTCTATAAAAACTACAAAAATTAGCTGGGCTTGGTGGCATGAGCCTGTAGTCTCAGCTACTTGGTAGGCTGAGGTGGGAGGATCACTTGAGCTCAGGAGGTTTAAGCTGCTGCTCCACGGCGTTCTAGCCTGGGTGACAGAGTGAGGCTCCGACAAAAATCAAAAGGAAAATAAACAACAACAATAAAAGAACTTTGTATCTAGCAAGGCTGTCCATTGAGCGTTTTGGGAAAGTTTTAACATGTAAGAATTTAGGGAATTCTGCACCCATGAGCGCTTTTTAAAGATTCTCCTAGAGGATGAGCTCCAAACTAAAAGAAGACTATAGAACATAAGCTAATTGGATCACATATGCATAGATCATATAGATAAATATATACGTAACTGTTGATCTACTTTTGAAACAAAGGCAGGGTCAATGGTGTAATAATAACGTTTGATGTTATATATAACAAAACAGAAATGGTGTACTTTAAAATTGGGAGGAAAAGAGAGGAAAAGAAAAATAGAATGATCCCATTGATTTCTATACAGGCCATAGGTGAGAATTAAAAGAAATCAATAAAAACTGAGAAACTAAATAGTGAATGGGCTGGGCACGGTGGCTCATGCCTGTAATCCCAGCACTTTGGAAGGCTGAGGTGGGTGGATCACTTGAGGTCGGCAGTTTGAGACCAGCCTGGCCAACATGGTGAAACACTTTCTCTACTAAAAATACAAAAATTAGCTGGGCATGGTGGCAAGTGCCTGTAATCCCGCTAGAATGGTGACTGAGGCAGAAGAATCATTTGAACCCAGGAGGGAGAGGTTACAGTAAGCCAAGATCACACTTTGCACTCCAGCCTGGATGACAAAGTGAAACTCTGTTTCAAAAAAAAAAAAAAAAGGAAAGAGGAAAAAAAATTAAAAATGCAAACCTTTCTAAAGAACAGGAAATTAAAGAGCAAGCAATAACAAATTAAAGAACAAAGACTGCAAATCTTATAGCAAAATATAATTATAAAATATGACATTATTGAAACTAAACATTATTCATATCAATGAATGTGAATAGGTTTAATTCACCAAAATAAAACTATTTTTAATTGGCTCACAAAGCAAGACCCAATTTATATACTGTGTGCAAGGGCACATCTAAAACAATGTGATTCAGAAAGACTAAAAAGGGTTGATCGAGATAGTTCAAGCAAATAGAAACAACAAGAAAGCAGGGATAAAGATTCTGTTATCAGACAAAGTAGAAATCAAGCCAAAACACATTAAACATGACAAAGAACAGCCCTTGAAATATCTAAAGCCATAATTTATAACCATTAGAAACATTTATGCACCAAATAGTACAGCACCTACTGCATAAGATGTAAAAAGACTTAGATAAAAGTGCACTAATAAGAATTTTTTAATACAGCAGTTATAGCACAAAAAAGATCAAGTTTACACAAAATAATAAGATGAAAGACATAGATTATATAAAGTAGATCTAGAGAATAAACATCAAACTCTGCACTTTGTTGATAAAGAATCCCAAGCACTGGCAGGGCATGGTGGCCTCACATCTGTAATCTCAGTGCTTTGAGAAGCCAAGGTGGGACAATCACTTGCAGACAGGAGTTCAAGACTAGCCTGGACAACGGAGTAAGACTGCATCTCTACAAAAAATTTTAGAAATTAGCTGGATGTCGTGGCACACACCTGTAGTCCTAGCTACTTGGGAGGCTGAGGTGGTAGGATTGCTTGGTCCAGGAGTTCAAGGCTGCAGTAAGCTATGATCACACCACTGCATTCCAGGTGACAGAGAGAGACCCTGTCAAAATGAATGAATGAATGAAAGAAGAGAAAGAAAAGAAAGAAAGAAAAAGAAGAAAGAGAAGGAGGAGAAAGAAAAGAAAAAAAAGAATGACAGAAAGAGAAAAAAAAGAAAAAGTATCCCAGTACCCATAAAACACACACACATGCACGCACACACACACACACACACACTATATATATATATATATAGATAGATAGATAGATAGAGAGAGAGAGAGAACAATATTATTTGTTTAAGAACAATAGAACAGTATATATGTTCTATTTTTCTATTGTTCTTAAAATGTCTTTTCTTCCTAATTAGACAATAAGGAATAACACCATCACTTAAAATCCTTGTCTCTTCCCTTCATCAGTTCACAGTTCTTGCTAGGTGCTCAAAATACATTTGCTGAATAGGTGAGAAACAAGAAGACTACTATGAGAATGTGCCTGGAACTCTCTAGAAGCCTAGTTAGATAGATGTATAATACTTCCCTAGGAGACAGAGAAAAGTGTTGTTGATTGAATAAAGGTTTCCACCTGGGAAATTGATTACTGTGTATTGTAAATCCTTCCAATATGCCCAACTTAGCCTTTCATCTCATATAAGGTAACATTTTGGCTCTGTAAGTCATGATTTAATAAACATGATTATTTATATAACACATTGTATTTTTTCATCATTTGTGCACATCAATTATAAATGATGACACTATTCTGTGACTTCCCAAGTATTTTCCCTAACACTTATATAAAGTCTTTCCACTTCCAGGGCCACTTACATCATACTTTCAGGTTCGACCGCACAAGCACCAACTGCTTTTGTAACATTCACAAGAAGGGCTTGGTTTATTCCAACAAGGAGGTTCACAAGTGGTTGAATGCCACCACATTTCCGGATAATGACTCGGTTTTCATGTTCTTGGCAGCATTCTCCCAAGGCCCCAACCACATTCACAAGTACCTCTTCAGGCTGATCTGTTAAAAGTCCCACCAAGGTTTCAATGGCTTTGTATTCCCGAAACCTAAGTTCATCATAAGAAAGACAGAAAGAATTGTGTTTTGTATAAGGTTAGCTAAAAATTACTAAATATTCATTCAATCTTTACAACAACCCAATGATGCAGGTATTATTCAATCCCCATTATTGGATGGCTAATCTGAAGCTTGGTAAATAGTAGAGCTGACGTCTACACCCAGCCATCTGCTCCAGACCTTCACCCTTAATCACCATGCAGTACAGTCTCTAAGAAAACCACTGCCTCTTCTAAACCTGAGCATCTAAGATTCCACTTTGCTAGGGCTTTTCCCTCTATCTTATAGAGACTACCTTACCTGAATGAAGTCTTCTAAATGTTTAATAAAAATAAATTATATGATATATATTTTTGTTTTTAAACACGTCACATATGGCTCTATTGTACCTATTTGGTCTTAGTTGGTTTCTTAAAAGGAGTAGTAGCTTGTTCTACTTCGATTTTTAAAAAGTCACTCCTGAGTATCTTCCATATTAACCACTAATAAATTTGAGCATCTCTCTTGTTATAAAATTTCACTCTCATATATATGTATATGCATATGTGTGCATATATACACACATATGTATGTGTGTGTGTGTGTGTGTGTGTGTGTGTGTGTGTGTATATATACATACCCCCCAAAGGAGGCATGCTACATAAAGGTAAATATTTGAAAATTAGTAGTTTCTATACAGAACATTTTTACCTTTCTAATACATTTCAGCAGTATTTAAGGATTATGATGCAGCAGAGGTTTTAGTTAAGGTAAAAGTTCCATTAGCCGAGGTTACTTTTAAGCTAGTCATGGCTTCACTTTGCCTTATTTATTAAGTAAACTTATTTTGTGTTAAATGGTCAGAGATGTGAATTTCTTGTTAAAAGCAATAATCAGATGGAGTCAAGGAGAAATTGCCTCAGAATACCCATCACTGAGAATGGAAACTCTAAAAAATTTGAAGAGATAGATTTGAAAATTAAGATAAATCAAATGATTGTAAAGTTTATAAATACTTTAAAATCAAATTAAATCATATTTTAAAATGACCACTCTTTAAAGAGTAACTGATTAGTTGACATTTAGCTGATTCGTCTTGTTTCTCTTTAGAAAAGAAAAAAGAGTAAAATCACTCCCATCTCTAAAGATTCTATGGGAAATCCACCCAATCACCTTGATAGGTCCCCACGGAAAATATCAGAGATATTTCTAATTCAAATGGCTGCCCATATGCAAAGTAGAGAGATCATGTCAGCAAGCCTCTTAGTGCCATTGAGGCACAGAAAAAGTCATTACCAGGTAGTAATGACTTTTTATTCTATTCTATTCTACCCTATCCTAAGAATCCCGTCATTCTGCTAACTTCAGCCAGAATGTACATCTACCACTAACATTAGAATCGACTCCTTACTAGAATGGCATTAAATGAGAAGAAGGTGTTTCAGAAGCCATATCTTCATTTCAGAATATTGAGCTCCTTCTCTTACTTGGTCACATTCTCTTTGCTGATGGAACATTTCCATATTGCCCCTGTGACAGCGGCCAACCGCTCTTTATTGTCAGTCTTACTGAGTAGACTGGCCAGGGGTTTAAGTCCTCCATGCAGCCTAACGAGGTCTCGGGTTTCCTCATCTTCAGCACACTGCACAGAAAGTCAAATCAGAGGCTGTCAGTGATCAAGGAATATCAAGCTTTCGATGATGGCTAAAAAGGCTGCCACTCTAGTAGCTATGAAACTTCTTTCTAGCGAGATCATTTTCTGAAGGTGCCTCAAAGTAAGATATAATTTGTCTCTCTACTGGTAGGTTTCTGACAGTATGTCTCTCTCCTTAGGTGGTTTTGGGAATAGATAGCAGTTTCTACATACTCGGCAATTCTCCTGAGCCAGTTTTGAGGTAGCCTGGGCATCTCCTGAGGCAAAGGTCAGTGAGAAACCTACAGCTCCACATGCAGGGATGGAGGATTTCTGCAGTGATGCAACACAGAATTTTGGGGAAACGTAGAAGAGAAGACAGATGAGTGATAGGGATTTGGTCAGCTCTTCAATGGCCCCTGAAAACTAGAGACAAATGTATTTTCTTTCCTTTTCTTTTTCTTTTTCTTTTTTTTGAGACAGAGTCTCGCTCTGTCACCCAAGCTGGAGGGCAGTGGCATGATCACGGCTCACTACAACCTCCACCTCCTGGGTTCAAGTGATTAGAGACAAAGAATTTCTCCAAGTCTCCATGCCCAGAGCAGTAGGTGATATCAATAGTACCTGACATTTTATTCAAATATTCTTATCCATGTTTGTGTCATCCTTTGAAATACATCTTTACTGCACAGATGGTCTCAACTGATCATTCTTCCTGGGCTCTAGAGATGATACAGATGTATCATTAACAGATGATACAGTTAGCAGAGCCTTGGCTATTACCCCAAGTGCACAGCTGTTTTTTGATGTCATGTGGTGTAGATATGTGTCATGTGTCACCCATGGAGGCCATGGAAGAAATCCTCATCATAATGTACCACATAGGTACCTGCCATGTTTATCTTCTGCATGTGATTTTCAGTTCTGGATTAGAGGTACCTTCTAAAAATGAATCCCTATTTCTAATCAACTCAATGGTTACTCCAGTGAGGCATATATACAAGTCAGGGCTATATACCATTGTTATGGGCCAAATTGTGTCCCCCCAAAATTTATATATGGAAGTTTTTTGTTTTTTAGATGGAGTCTGTCTGTTGCCCAGGCTGGAGTTCACTGGCACAATCTCAGCTCACTGCAACCTCTACCTCCTGGGTTCCGGCGATTCTCGTGCCTCCACCTCTGGGGATTACAGGCGTGCATGACCACACCCAGCTAATTGTTTTTGTATTGTTAGTAGAGACAGGGTTTTGCCATGTTAGCCAGGCTGGTCTCAAACTCCTGACCTCAGGTGATCCAGCCACCTCAGCCTCCCAAAATACTGGGATTACAAGCATGAGCCATTGCCCCAAGCCCATATATTGATGTCTTAATTCCCAATTCCTCAGAATGTGACTGTATTTGGAGACAGAGCTTTTAAAGAGGTCATTCAGGCTAAATGACCTCTTTTAAATTACTTGGGTGGGCCCTGCCCCAACAGGACTGCAGTCCAAGAGGAGACAAGGACACCGGCGTACACCCAGGAGACGGTGGGAGGACACAAGCTGAGGAGAGAGGCCTCAGAAGAAACTACCTCTACTCTCAGACTTACAGTCTCCAGGGCTGCGAAGAAATAAATTTCGGCTGCTCAAGCCACCCCATCTGTGGTATTTTGTTACAGCAGCCCTCCCTCACAACCTAATACAATCCTCTACTGAAATGAATCCCTTGATCTTTTTGTTGATGTTGTTTGCTTGTTTGTTTTTGAGACGGAGTCTCACTGTCACCCAGGCTGGAGTGCAGTGATGCAATCTCGGCTCACTGTAACCTCCAACTCCCAGGTTCAAGAGATTTTTCTACCTCAACCTCTTGAGTAGCAGAGATTACAGGCACATGCCACCATGCCCAGCTAATTTTTGTATTTTTAGTAGAGATGGGGTTTCACTATGTTGGCCAGGGTCATCTTGAACCCCCGATCTCCAGTGATCTGCCTGCCTTGGCCTCTCAAAGTGTTGTGATTACAGGTGTGAGCCGCCATGCCCGGCCCCTTGTATCTTTTTGACTTACTCTCTGACTACACATCTTAAGTGCATTCCTCCAGCAAACCTTCTCTGATTAGGTAGAAGCTAATCTGCACAGTAACCAGCCATTCACTACCTTGTCAAGGCCATTTTTCTCCCTTTACCATTCTAATCTGTTTTCTGGTATACTATGAAATGTATAATACACAAAAAGTTAGTGTAGACTACAATAAGTAAACCAGTAAAAAGATAAACCAGAAACAGAAACACACACATACCCATTCCTCTGGCTAGCCTTGGTAGGAGATAAATGCCCCAAGATTATTTGAATAGGATATATTAAAAGCAATATAGAAGCACCCATGTACTTATTTATCTACTTTATACTAAGTACATCATTTTAGGAAACAAAGATGCATAAATGTCTTCTAGAAACAAATAGTCACAGATGTCAAAGCAGGTTTCTCTGACCTATACAAATTATCTCTCATTACCACAGGACAATGGTTCTTAGACCTAACTGTGTATGAAAATCCAATGTGGTACTTGTTAAAAATGCAGACTGTGCACAGTGGCTCATGCCTGTAATCCCAGCACTTTGGGAGGCTGAGGAGGGAGGACCGCTTGAAGCCAGGAGTTCGAGACCAGCCTGGGCAGCATAATGAGGCCACCGTCTCTGAAAAAACAAAAACAAAGAATATTAGCCAGTCATGGTGGTAAATGGCTGAAGTGCCAGCTTCTTGGGAGGCAGATATGCGAGGATCACTTCAGCCTGGGAGATTGAAGTTACGGTGAGCTATGATTGTGCCATTGCCCTCCAGCCTGGACAGCAGAGCAAGACCCTATCTCTAAAAAATAAATAAATAAATAAAACGTAAATAAATAAATAAATAAAATGCAGATTCCTGAGTCCCATTCTCATAGGAGGAAACCACATGGTTAGAAAGCTGCCTTAAGCAATGTGGGAAAGAGTGCCAACACCTGCTAAGAGAGTTCATCGCACCTGGTAAATGGCCATGGCGCAGTGCTCCTGCAGCTGCTCGTTCTGACTACTTAGGTTCTTGACAAGGCTTTCAATGATCCTTCCTGCTTTGATTGCAGCCCGGTAGTTTTCCTAGGAATAAAAACTTACATAGTTATGTGTCTAAGGCATGAATATAAGTATCTGTTTACATTTACTAATAAACATGCTGAACAAACTTTTTTAGGAAATAATCACCAAAGTTCTAGCTTGACATATCCCCACATCAATAAGAGAATCAACTGAGTAATATATATGTATGTGTGTGTGTATATATACATATATTTAGCGTGTATATATGAATATAAGTACATATATGTGATTATATATAAAACGTCAGTATATATATGATATATATATGTCACTGTCCTATCAACTGATAGGACACTGATTAAATCAGTACCTGTGTGAGATATATATTTTATATATATATATATATATATAATACACAGTAATCAGTACACAGGTACTGATTAAATCGGTGATTAAATCACCGATTCAATATATATCACACAGGTATGTATATATCACACAGGCACTGATTTAATCACTGATTTAATCAGTGTCTGTGTGATACATACATACCTGTGTGATATATAGATACATAGAGTACCTGTGTCATATATATATATATAGTATAATGCATATATATATATAGAGAGAGAGAGAGAGAGTACACAGTAATCAGTACACAGGTACTGATTTAACTAGTGTCCTCTCAGTTGGATCTCTCTTTCTCATAGAATGCTGACTTCTTGGAAAAAAAAGAAAACTCCTTGAGCCATCATGATAACCTTAAAAACAATTTTTGGACTAAAGAAAGTCAAGTTGAGAAGTCAAGGGAAGCAGAGCCAGCGTGAGTACCTCTGATGCACACTCTTGCAATGTCCCCACCACTGGAATTAGCATGTTTTCATGAGAAGTCTTCAGCAGCTGAGCCAGGAGAGGAAAGCCCTCCGCTTTGCGGATGGCTTCTTTATTCGCATGACTCTTGCTGCAGCTCCACAGGGCCAGTGCCCCGCAGCGAGCCACTTCCACATCTCTGGCCTCATACAGGCTCAGCTGGGCGGGTTCTGTGGAATCGTGTGCACAGTCTAGTAGAGTAACCTATAAGAATAGATAAATCCAGTGTTCATGGAAATCTTAAAAATCTCAGGCATTCTTCAATCGCTACCAAGGTTGCTTACCAAGCTCACCTCCATCAAAAATAAGAACGTTTTAAAAAATCAATTTTCATACTCCATAGCAGCCAGGGAAAGCAAACAAAACCCTACAAAAAATCTTCCTTTGGATTAGGGAGCTTATACATTTCCTTTTCCCAAGAAATGTAAACCCACCAAGATAATATATTCTTAACATGGCTCTAATATTTATATCAATAATATTTGTAAACCACATCCTCAGCCCTAACATCTCAAAAAACTAGCCTCCCCAAACATTAGCACTTTCTAAGGAGAACCGAATGGACTTTATACTCTTAAAGCCACAAGACCTGACCAGGAACAGTGGCTCATGCCTGTAATCCCAACACTTTAGGAGGCCGAGGTGGGAGGATCACTTGAGGCCAGGAATTAGAGATCAGCCTGGACAAGGCCAGGAATTAGAGATCAGCCTGGACAACACAGCAAGATCAAGATCCTATTTCTAACCAAAAAAAAAAAAAAAAGCTGGATGTGGTGGTGCACGCCTGTAGACCCAGCTACTCCAGAGGCAGAGGTGAGGTGGGAGGATTGTTTGGGCCCAGGAGTTCAAGCCTGCAGTGAGTTATGATCACTCCACTGCACTCCAGCCTGGGCAACAAAGCAAGATCTTGCCTCAAAAAACAAAACAAAACAAAACAAAAATAACCCAGAAAACAAAAACCATGAGGCCTCTTTGGAGGACATAGCCTTCCTCATGTGCTACTGAAGCCAACCAAACCAAACAGCACAACTGCAAGCATCCATTTTTTTCTTTGAAATAACTAAAGTCGTTGAAGATCTTAAGGGAAAGGCAATTTACTATAAGGATTAAGCAGGATGTCAGGTTGCCTCATGGGGGAAGGGAAGCCAGACCTCCTGAGAGCTGTGATTCACTGTCAGCCACCCTTGCAGGCTCACTGTCTCTGTATGGGGCTCAGGAGACATCATCTATGCATGTCTGCTCCATTCTTCTCTCCCTGATGGTCAAATTCCACAGATACTGCCCGTAACCACCAATCTCAAATTTAGAAGGGAATAATAGCCCAGGCTAAGTAGAGTCTCTCAATCCCAATTCCAAGTTCCTGGGAGAGAGATCCAGTGGGACTGGCTTGAATCAGGTGGGCAGTCCTGGTCTAATTAGATATGGACCCAGGAAAAACGGGGAGGAGGGAATGGAGGCTTCCAGGTGCTGACTGCAAGTGGGATAGCCATGTTGGAGAAATTTGAAGACCATGGGATTGAACACAGGTGCACAACAAATGATGTGGTATGGAAGTGCTCAGAAAGCCCATAGTATTTGTGACTGTTTTGGAACTGCCTGGTGGTTAGGAGATGCTCCTCACAATCTTTGCCTTGCGAAAATTTATTCCTTGATTTAACCCATTGCCACCATGACCAGCACTATTGGCTGATTCACCAAAGATTGGTTAAATAATTGTCTTACTTGTTTTAATTAACCTTTCTTAAATGTGTGTATAAGTCATAGTTATTTCCATTTTTAATGTTGGCAGTGTTGGGGTCTTCATTTAGAAGTCATATTTTTGTGACCAGAAATATGTCATAGGAACTTAATTCTTTTTTATATCAGTAAGTCTAGAGGAAAACTGGTTTTGTTACATGTTGTTTTGCTTAAAGTCACAATTTTTGAGAACCTGTTGATGATATTAAATGAGGACTTACTGTACTAGATTCCTGAATGTGATGCATAAAACATATTTTAATTTTATGTTACATTATCCATTATTACAGTTTAATGGGAGTGGTGTCAGTAGACAGTCACATCAACCTGCCAAATTATTTCATTATTTAAGCAAAATAATGATAATCATAGTAATAATTACATTTTCTCTGGCATTTTTAATGAAAATTTTCAAACAGAAAATCTTAAAGAATTTTACAGTGATTGCACAACAGACTTCCCTACATCCACCACCTAGAGTCTATAATTAACATTCTGCCACTTCATTTTATTACGTATCTCACCAACTATTCATGCATCTATCCAGTCATGATTCTATCTTATTTTTGAAACAAATACATTTATAATGCTTTAAAGATGACAAGTGAAAACACAGAATGTCTTTTGGCAAATTTCTGAACACATTTCTCAGTGTACATATTTACATTAAAATCCATATTCACCCAATAGATATGTATTAACCCTTAGTATGGGTAAGGAACTGGGCTATGTGCTGTGAAAGACACAAGGATGAATAAGACCTGTCACTTAAAATGCAGAAGTGGAAACAATACAGTAAGATAACAGTTCTGGGGGAGACAAAAATCTACTGATCCTTACTAAGGTGAAAACATGTTTACTTTTAAAAAGTCTTTCCTAATGATGGCAAAGGTGGTAAGCAAGATTCTGGCATTTTTATTTAGATGCTAGCTATTGAGAAAATTACTTTTTCTGATTATAAGAGCAAGACTTAGAAGACAAATTGGCAAATGTAGAAAAGTAGGCAGAAAAATTAGTCATCACTTCAGAGAAAACCCTTGAGAGCAATTTGTGTGTTTATTTCTAATGTTTATTTCTAAAAATTGGGATCATAGCACAGTTTTTAATCCTGCCATGATTTTATACAATATTAAATATTACACATTTTATTTCTTGCATTAATATACTTTCAGGCTGGGTGTGGTGGCTCACGACTGTAATCCCAGGACTTTGGGAGGGCAAGGTGGGTGGATTGCATGAGCTCTTGAGTTCGAGACCAGACTGACTGATACAGTGAAACCGTGTCTCTACTAAAAATACGAAAATTAGCCAGGCTTGGTGGCATGCACCTCTAGTCTCAGCTACTCGAGAGGCTGAGACAGAAAAATTCCTTGAACCTGGGAGGCAGAGGTTGCAGTGAGCTGAGATCACACCACTGTACTCTAGCGTGGGTGACAGAGCAAGACTCCATCTCAAAATAATAAATAAATAAACTTTCAACACAATAGTGATAGCTGTCTCAGTAGGTGTTTCTTGTGGATACACTGCAGACCGTTTCACTGAGCACATACTGCTAAACACCCACGCTGTTTTCAGCTCTCAGTCTTCTAACAATGAGATGAACAAGAGCCTGAAGATCTGACTGTCTGCTTGGAAGAGCATTTTCCCAGTAAGGTCACCACATCAGAGGCCATGGGCCACCAGTAAGACTTACACATAAAAGGCAAATTGGCAAATGCAGAAAAATAGGAAGAAAAATCAGTCATCACTTCCGAGAACAATTTTTTTGTGTTTATTTCTAGTGGATTTGTGCTCTATAATAGTGGGTAGATCTTTATAATCTATTGGTGGCATCATAGGCCGGGCATGGTGGCTCATGCCTATAATCCCAACACTTTGGGAAGCCAAGGCAGGTGGATTATTTGTGGTTAAGAGTTTGAGACCAGCCTAGCTAACATGGTGAAATCTTATCTCTATTAAAAATACAGAAATTAGCCAGGCACAGTGGCAGGTTCCTGTAATCCCAGCTACTTGGGAGGCTGAGGCAGGAGAATTGTTTGAACTTGGGAAGCAGAGGTTGCAATGAGCCAAGATCGCACCACTACACTCCAGCCTGAGCCTGAGCCACAGAAGTGAGATCCTGTTTCAAAAAAAAAAAAAAAAAAAAAAAAAAAAAAAAAAAAAAA